TTTAGCCTCCATATGTTTGAATTTTTAATAATTTTTTTCCTGTAATTGAGATCTAATCTTACTGCACTATGGTCAGAAAAGATGACTGGAATGATTTCAGTTTTTTTGAATTTACCAAGACTAGATTTATGGCCCAGGATATGATCTATTCTGGAGAATTTTCCATGTGTACTTGAGAAAAAGGTGAAGTTGATTGTTTTGGGGTGAAATGTCCTATAGATATCAATTAGGTCTAGCTGGTCCATTGTGTCATTTAAAGTTTGTGTTTCCTTGTTAATTTTCTGTTTAGTTGATCTATCCATAGTTGTGAGTGGGGTATTAAAGTCTCCCACTATTATTGTGTTACTGTTAATTTCCTCTTTCATACTCGTTAACGTTTGCCTTACATATTTGTGTGGTGCATATTATTCACCTGGTTATATCAGTATTCACCTGGTTATCGTTGCTACCCTGATCTCTATTATTTGTGGACCATAGATGCTTGACCTGCCAGTTAGCTGTCCCAGTTTTCTCCCTCCATCCATCTTCACAAGGCTCAAAGCCTGACATTGCGACAAGCATGATTACCTAGTGAAAACAGAAGATGAGATGTAACTGGGTATCAAAGGATGAGAAGGGGTTTGCCCGGGAGAGAATGCAGGGGCCATCATAGGCAGAAAGAACTGTGTTAGAATGCAGGAGAGAGCTCAGCATGCTTGCGTCAAGGATGCTTGTGGGATGATGCAGGTGATGAATGGAGTTGTGATCCTGCATCAGTATACAGACAGACACTTAGCCCCACCTGAGACACTGGCTCTTCAGCACAGTTACTCCCCACCCTGGGGGACGAGGCACCTGCGATTCCCCAAAAGTGGGCTCTGAGTCTCGGAGAGGCTGTGAGGGACTCATGGGTGCATTGTGAAACCCTCACCGTTTGCTCCTCAGGACGCGTGCTTCCCTGTTTCTTAATATTGGTGTTATTTAACCTCAGGACTCACTTATCCATTGGCCAAGCTTTGGGGGATAAGGTGCCCCAGTTTTTATGCTTCTGATTGAATAGCTAAGCAGCTCATCCTAGCGCAGAGAGCTCCACGGTGGGTATCGTGAGGCTTCAGGCCTGGGTTTGCTTCTAACCAACAGTGGGACCTTAAAAGCCACTTTCCTTCTCTAGGTCATGTTTCTTTATCTGTGAGATAAGAGAAGTGGTCTGGGGGTTCTTAGGCACCCCTTTGGCACTTTGGTGAAACCTCTAGGAACCCCTTCAAGTTTTTAAATGCCTCAAATAACATACACAGAACTACAAAAGAAACTGTTTCATTGAAAGGAAGATATAAAAATAGTAAATAAATTTGTGGTATGATGATATATGTACATCTTATTAACGCATTAAGTGGCTTCATAGCTACTGTAAGTTCAAATTATTGATGAGCACAGTGACATTTTGCAATATCTGCAGTAAAAATACCTGGAATTTACATTGAAAACCAAGTCACAGGTGCTGTTAATACCAATGTGGTTTGTGATTTATATTTGTGGTTAGAGGAAACGTCATACTTCAGTTAGAGGGTGGTGAAAATAATCATGTAATTATTTTTCCCATCCAAATTTATGGAACCTAGGATTGTACCTTTGGACTATGTATTAGTGATCCATGGAACTCAGGTTATCGATCCTTGGACTTCTAGGATGTTCTTTTGCCGATTCTCTGGCTATCAAATGATGTGATAATCTCCATAATACTCAATTTCCAAATAAGTGAAAAATGTTAAAATTCCCATGTAATTCGTAAAGCTCCTATCACTTGTCATGAGAGGATCCCAGGTGCTTGGAGAGGTACGGGAGGAGCTTTCATCTGCGGTGTTGACTGCACTGGGGTCTGGCTCAGCATTGCTCGTGGCAGTTGCCCGAGGCGCTCAGAACCGGCAGCTGTGGAGGCGTAGGCCACAGCTGAGCTCATCACTTGGTGAGTCCTGAGCCGTTGCTACCACTGGACGTAAGGCGATAGGGTCCCGGGCGCCTCCGGCCACACTGTGACCCGCTTATCAGTATGTTAATATAACATTGCTAAAGAAAACATCTTACCTAATATGTGTTGTTGATTCAGTGACACTGAACTCACAGCTCACAGCACTATAACTCATGCCTGAGCGGAGCTTGTCTCGCGCATCACAGTGTTCTTAAGCTTAGGAACGCTAGACAGCACGTCAGCACTATGCTCAGGGGCCGCTTTAGACAGAGAAGCCACCAGTGAAAAGCACAAAATTGTGAGACGAGGGCAGTGAGTAGGCTGTTTATGGTATGAGAGCTGAATCGAGAAGGCAGAGCAGAGCCTTGTTTGACCTTAACTGGAATCATGTGCATTAGGGTCTCAGGCTTTTTGCCTCTGCACGTGTCCACCGAGAACCACTGAAGTGCTCCCTGTATTTTTTTGTTTGGTTGTTTTTTTGTTTTGGCCTCTCTGAGTAGTGTGCAGGGTCTTAACTCCTTGACCAGGCATCGCACCCCTGCCCCTGCAGTGGAAGTGTGGGGTCCTAACCACTGGACCTCCAAGGACTTCCCATACTGCCTGTATTATTTTTGCAGTTACATGTGAATTTTAGTGAGCAGGTGCTTTGCAGTCCTGGGGATTGACCGTTTACACCAGTATTTCTTTCTGGACCTGAGGTCTAGTTGTGACGCTGCCTCTCTGTGTCTGATCTTGATTTAGTTATTATACTACTCTGGATTTCTGTTTTCTTCCTCATAAAACAAAGACGTGGGATAGATCAGTCGCGGTAGATTTTTTTTACATAGCAGAAGTAACTCATTCATGTGAAAGCTCGGGTCGTTGGCTTCCTGGCTTGCCCACAGCTCTGCTTCTCCACCAGTTTTATCAAGAACATACGGAGAACCATTAGGCTGGATTTTCCTGTTGGTTAGCTTTTCCCTTTTATTCATTTGACAAATTTTATTCATTTGACAAATATTTATTGAGCTTCACACAATTCTGGATGCCATTCTTATACCAAATTCACTAAAAAAAAATGATTAGAGCTATTTGTAAATGGCCTGCAAATCACTTTATTTGTAATTCTTATTAACTAGGGTTTCATCTTCTGACCTCTCTTACTATCAAATGGCCCAAATAATCTTTCAAATTCACTGTTTTTTCAGAGTCACCAGATTCACTGAAGAGCACTCTTCAGGCTTCACTCACCCTGGTCTGGGAATCCTTCATCTCTGAGATTAGAACCAAAAGCACCCTCCTTGGTGGTCACATCTGAAGGTAGGTCATTTGGAAAGCAGGACCCCCACCCACAAGCTAAACCCGTTTAAGGTGACACCCAGTATTTTCCTGGGCATCCCTCATTTTGGGGGTTGTGCTTAACTTCTCTACTAGAAGGTCATCATGATGGGGATGCCTTTTCCCTCTGGCGAATCCACTTCCAAAACCTATGTGTTCAAGAGTAGCAAAATAATGTAGTCGTATGTATTAACAATCTTGAAGTCCCCTTCTGCTAGTTTTAAAGAACATTATAATTTTTACATATGGCAGTTGATGGGTGATTTTTCTTAGCTTTCTGTGCATGAAAACTAAAAGCACAATTTGTTAAGATTATAACTAGTTCTTCAAAGGAGATTCATTCCTCTAAGAGGAAAGAAGGGCATTGTCAGTAGATTTGGATCAGTTGGTTTTCACCTAGTGAATGTATTTTAATCATGAGATCTTCAGAGTCATCAGAAGAACAGTGTTAATACTTAATCTTTAGTGAGGGAATCTTTCATCATTGGCATTTCTGTCCTTTAGAGAAAAAAAATAGGATTTTTCTCTGAAATGCCTTTTTCATTATGAAATGATGAGGTTGAATTATTTCTATTTCTGTACTGAGAACTGGCTTAAGGAAGGCATGGAGATATGTGGTAGCTTCAGTTTTAATTTAATATGGATTATTTCAGGTTGACAATCGTAGGTTTTTAATAAATCTGTTGATGTTCAGATGGTCTGGGCAAAAGGACATGGTCTGCAAGGGAACCCTATTCCAGCCGATGTTGGTGGCTCTGGTGAGCTCTGCTTCTCATCATGCAGGCCCCGTACACTCCCCTCCTCACCGACTCTAGACTTGACCACGCAGCTCGCTTCGGTCAATAGGACATTAGCAGGATGTAAGCAGTGGCTTGGTGAGCATTGGGACATTAGGCTTTGTCCTCTTGGAATGTTCCTTGGTGCTGTAGAAAAGCTTGCACTGGATTCTTAAATGATTGGCTATGTGGAGAGAAACCCTGAAGGATGAGGCCATCTTAAATGTTCCAGCCCCGATCCAACTTCTGACTGAACGTTGCCTATGGAGTGACCTCACCTACACCAGGTTGAATAAAACTGCTCAGCTGAGCCCAGCCAATCCAGTGAATTGTAAGAAACAGTCAATTATTGTTGTCTTAAGTCACTAAGTTTTGCTGTGGTTAGTTACATTGCAGTCGATAACAGAAATTATGCCCTACTTTAAGAAATGTGTACAAAGGGATATTTTTCTGTGAATGTTCATAGAAGACATTGTTCATTTCATAATGCTATGATTCTGTAATGCCACTGGAAGTACAGTGAGCAAGGGTAGGCACGTGTGTGTGTGTGCATGTGTATGTGTGTGTGTGTGTGAACTAATGTTGTGGGATCCTTTCTTAGACCATTGCAACTGAGTGTTATACATGCAATATTTTTGTTTTCACAAAGGATATACCTGAAGAAGATACCTTGAAAAGTAATCACTCTTTTATTCATTCAGGTTATGGAAGATACTGAGAAGCATAAAGGAAAGAGCCATCACCTAGAATCCCACCACCCAGGGGCCAACTTTGGGAAGTTTTCATTTTGTAACAATAGTTAACATAGTAAAAAGCTTTCCTTGATTTTTCTTTGAAATTCTAGTATATAAATTATACCCATTGAGAGTATAGATGTTCTAATATCCTTATACAAGTGGTTTTAAACACATGCTCAGATCTAAATTAGTGTTTATAACTTGGCTTAAACGTATAATTGCTATGAAATAAGTTAATATCTAACTTTTTAGTAGGTGCCACTGTATAAAGTTTTCTTCCTTCCTCCTCCCTCTTAACCTTGAAACTCAGATGAAATATCATAGACAGCCTGATTTCCTCCTTCATGTTGGAGGAAACTGGAAGGAAACTATCTTTGAGATAGTCTGCCCCAAGGATACAAAATTAGAGCTTTCCTCTGGGTTTGCATCCTCCCTCTTCTGTTTCCAACACCCACAATATTCAGAGTTCTTCGTGCTTAAGAGAAAAACTAGGAAGACCCCTTCATGATCCAAACAGTCCTTCTAAGAGGCTTATTGTTCTCTCAGGTGTTGCATTTCATTACAGATGGTGCACTTGTTATGAATATGCTAGGTAAGAAAGAGAAGCAAAAGAACATTTGGACGCCTTCTTCCCATCTTCTTCTCTCCGTGCCCTTCTCTGATCCCTTCCGCCCTCCTTCCAAGCTTTTTGTTTGCTTGTCATGTTTCCAAATATTAGTAAGATGAGGTCTTGTTCACCTGTCAGAAGTCTTGCTCATGGTTGGGATGATTTTTTACATTATTTTAAATATGAGAGCTAGAAACATTCATTCATGGCACTGCATTCCTAGCACTGCATTTTTTACCCCTTAATAATCAGTTTATGGAAGTTTGAGATCTGGTGGCTTCTGCCACTGAGTTAGGTAAGTAGGTAAGTAGAATGGAATAGAATCATTTTGAACTGCAAAATTTTAGATCATTATATTCTGTTTCATTTCAAGATCTTAAGGAAGGAAGAGGTTGTTGAAAGAGGTCTGTTGATATAGATGGTGCAACCCTACCATTGCTTTTCTTTTCTTTTTTTTATTCCTGTTTAACAAAACCGAAGGTGAGGGCCATTCTTTAATTCATCACTTGATCACTGTTTGTGGGATGCCCTAGGTTTGCCTCTCTCCAAGCTGCTGCTGGGTGTGGGGATTGAGGAAGTGAAATGATTTGCTCAGTGACACAGATGGAGTTTCGGCAGCACCAGAACTTCAAAACAGTCCTCCATTTCTTTGAGGTGTTACTTTATAACAAATTTCCAGTCTTGATTTTTTTTAAAAATTGGTGTTTCCTGTAATGGAGTAAGATGATAGTCCATAGATGTTTACATAAGATTTATGAGTTTTAGAAGAATTGACTATATGTATGTTGTCAAAGTTAGAAAATTTGACTTACTATCTAATAGCCGTTTGGTTGATAGGTTCAACTCTCTATTTCTCAAAGTTGTTATATATGTATAACTAAAATTCTTATATATGTATAACTGAATCACTTAGCTGTATGTCAGAAAGTAACACAACATTGTAAATCAAGTACACGTCAATAAAATAAATTATAAAATTAAGCTATTTTCTTTATGGTGATTCAAAAGTGCTTTTTGCTTTTTCTGAATTACCTGTGTTTAAAAAAACAAACTAAAAGAGTAGAATTTTGTGTCAGTTCCCTGCTGGGTTGCATGACTTATTTTCCTTTTACTGCTGAGTTTTTACCAAACTTCAAAGCTGGATAAGAAACTTAATTGTCTTCTTATTTGAGTTCATTGGACAGATGAAGAAATCACGGCCTGGGGAGGTTACTTGCTGACGTTCATAGAGCAGGTTCAGTGCCAAGAGACTTAGACGTTCCATTGTTTGACTTGAAGTACAGTACATTTTTCCTTGGGTGTGGAGTAATTGCTGGCAGGGCTGGTACCACACGCGCACGCGCGCACACACAAACACGCACGCACGCGCGCGCACACACACGTGCACACTCGCACATGTTCTTCATGACGAATGTGTTTTCAGAGGCGTGGGCTGTGCACTGTCTTCTCCCAAAGCTCCTCGAGGTGAGGATGGGGTGCACCCGTCTGTCGGGGACACATGAGATAAGGAGGAGACGGGCGATAGTGGGCATGGGCAGGCGGAGCCCACCGGAGCAGCGGGGTCTCCTGCCGCGGAGCACTGTCTTTGGAGAGGGTGTAGCATAAGTTCCCAGTGGCCTCTTGCAGGGGTGACAAGCGGGGCTGTCTGTGTCTCTGTCTTCCCTGAAGGTCTTGTCGGAACGTGATGGAAGGCCCACGGGCAGAGCCTCCGGCCCTAGAGGCAGGCCTGGTCGTGTGGGAGCTGAGCACGGAGGAGGGGGAGCGGGGTGCCTGTGGAGGGGCCACGTCTGCAGGCCCCGGGGGGTCGCGCGCACACACACGTGCACACTCGCACATGTTCTTCATGACGAATGTGTTTTCAGAGGCGTGGGCTGTGCACTGTCTTCTCCCAAAGCTCCTCGAGGTGAGGATGGGGTGCACCCGTCTGTCGGGGACACATGAGATAAGGAGGAGACGGGCGATAGTGGGCATGGGCAGGCGGAGCCCAGCGGAGCAGCGGGGTCTCCTGCCGCGGAGCACTGTCTTTGGAGAGGGTGTAGCATAAGTTCCCAGTGGCCTCTTGCAGGGGTGACAAGCGGGGCTGTCTGTGTCTCTGTCTTCCCTGAAGGTCTTGTCGGAACGTGATGGAAGGCCCACGGGCAGAGCCTCCGGCCCTAGAGGCAGGCCTGGTCGTGTGGGAGCTGAGCACGGAGGAGGGGGAGCGGGGTGCCTGTGGAGGGGCCACGTCTGCAGGCCCCGGGGGGACTGGGCTGTGAGCGGAGGTCTACACGCAGCGCGGCTCTGACAGGGGCCGGGTCTGGGCTCTTCTCTGTTCTTCCATCTGTGTGCCCGGGGGCGTGGAGGAGGAGGACGCGGCTGGGCAGTAGGCGCCCCCGCGTCGCCAGCGGCACCGGGCAGCCTGCGTTCCCCCGATGCCAGCCCGCATCCACCTGCTCCTGTCTGCAGACCAAGCGTTAGATGCCCTGTTGCTGGACTTCCTTGCCCTCTGGTGTCCGGATGGACTCAGGAATGGGGAGGCTATAGAGGAGACGGGGGAGAACCGTGAAGTCAGTCTCTGTCCCCGGGTCTCTTCCGGCCATCAGACGCGGGGTTTTCTCCGTCCCTCTGGGAAGCCCCAGAGCGCTGGGCCGCCCCTCCCGCAGCCGCAGCTCTTCTTGGGTCCCGGTGGCTCCGTCCGCTTGACCCTCTGGCCCCCGCACTCCCTGATCGGTCCCCCAGCCCCACCACGCCTGGAAAATAATCCCTGATTCAGCGTCCTCAGAGTCTCATGAGTGTGTTCCGTCTGTTTCCTGCTGGGCTTCGCTGAGACACTGGTTTGAAGAGTTTGCTCTCCAGACAGAATTGAGTGAGATGAAACAGCTA